CTGGTGACTGTTGATGTAACTCAACCAACACTCGACAAGTCTTATAGTCCAAGCCCTTCTTCTCATCATCGAAACCAATCTCCTTTATGGTATCTCTCACAACCTTCTCATAATCAATAGTAGCACCCTTTACAGTTATTTCACCAAAAACCATAACCATGCCAGTCTTTGTAGCTGTCTCACAAGCTACCTTTGCGAGAGGGTCCCTTTCAAGGCAAGCGTCTAGGACGGCATCGGAAACCTTTGTGAAACAAGAGCAATGAAACAAGTCTGCTAACTGAATACATAAAAACTTACTTGGTCACATATCTTATCCGGATGACCTTCATTAACTGACTCTGAGGTAAATAAGAAAGTAGATGAATCACCAACTGAACCAATAATATGACCCTTTTAAAGAAGCAATTCAAAGGCAAATAATAAAGACAACTATGACAGATGGGTAGAACTAGTCACTGGATTTCTTCTGCATGCTATTCTGAGAAATGTCTTTTATGTTCCAAATCTGATCACAAACCTACAATTCGTCTCTTTAAAAAGAGTATCTTACTAAATGAAAACGGACACAACTAAAGTGCCCAAAAATAAAAGGAATAGGATTCGACTAAGAATCTAGTTAAGGTTCTTACAAACTATCTTAAAAATGTGAACCCAAGGGCTGATATCAACAAGAGCCTAAAGGACCAAGATTCTGACTGCAGATATGCACGAAAAATATTCTAAAACGACATTCAATAAAAACCTGCTGATTTACGAGAGAGATGAAAGGTTCACGACCTTGAGTTATTTGGAATCCATTGCCTTGGTTATCTCCTCGAAAAGCAAACAGCGAATTTCCATGGGATACCAGAGTTTAAACAACGATATCTCTTGAATGGAGTATATAAAGGTACAGAGGTATTCAATATTGGACAATCCAAAAAGACAATACAAGCCAAGTGGAGCTCAACGTCTCAAAGGAAAAGGTGGGACTGTTACAATAGAAACAATTCAAAGCTTGAAATATGTTCAAAGAGAGGTTTAAATTCCGAAAATTCATTTTTACAACTTTAATCCCTCGATAGGTTTGAAGTGGCTAAAGTGTAATAAACCAACTTAAAGATATCCAAAGTAACTGTATAGCCGCCCTGGAAACTCTTGAAAAACATTATCAATTTGTCCAATTTACAATTTGTGTTTAGGTCATTCGTTGTTGAAAGTTTCGAGTTGTATCAGTCTTTGGATAATGCAAACAATATACCAATTAAAAGAACCACAAATTGACAGGGAAGAGGACGTCAGGACAATTATACAGACGTTTCTTTTTCAGTTCTCGGAGAAGGCGTACGGTGGGCCTTCGTTCAATCGCCCGGCTTGCTGTTTTGCGCCACATATTTATGGAGCCGGCAAAACATTTGTAGGCCAAAACTTTTTGGCCTATTTGAATATTTTTGCAGAGCGTGAGTGTTCCAATGCACAGACTTTTCAACAACTACACAGTTCAAACGATAACCCCCAACCGAGTGAGTTGAAAGTGCCTTGGAAACACTTTGCGGAACAAACTTTGTCAGTTATCTTAGAACTAAGAGAGAGCTTTTCTGATGCTCCTTTTCCAAGTTTTCGAAAGGCTTTGATGTATAATATTATTTTGAACGCTTACCGACAAAATGGTAAAGATGCGGACGCTCTTCAAATAGCCGAAAGGACGGTAAAGAATTTTGATATTGTAGGAGCTATTAATTGGCTTCTCGAACAATTTCAGAAACGATATTTATTTTTGATGATAGACGAACTTAGCCACCTGAGTTACCTCACCACATACTATAGTGAACTTACCACGAAACAGTTTTTTGAGTCTGACCCAAAATATGTACCTTTCCGCAATTTCTTCCGCATTCTACGTAGTTTTTTGATTACAGGGAAGGTAATTGTCTATGTGGCAGGTCGAACTGCTGAAATCTCAGCCCCCCTGTCTGATGCTCGCTCCAGTAGAGTGAGTCTCCGTATGTTGCGGTTGAATCTCTTTAACCTCCATGATATTAACGAATATATTGAGCTGGCAACTTATGATGGAAAGTCCTTGAAGGACTGTTTATTGCCCTCTGATGAATTACGATATCGATTCGTAGAATTGTTGAAGAAGAAGACAGGGGGTATTCCGTTGATTGTAAAGAATACTTTACTAGCCCTAGTAGGGAAACTTGCAAACTTATCGCAACCTGTTACCAACGATGAAAATATGGAACTTTTGTTAGATAGTGTCTTTAGCTCTTTACTACTAGAGTCAGTAACGTTTATTATTCCAGAGATACTAGATTCCGCAACCCTTCTTCGATATCAATTTGTCCTTTTGAATTATCAGCTCGGGACAGTTTTTCCAATTAACTTTGTAATTACTATATGCGGAACGAGAACTTATTTGATGGACTTGGTTGCAACTTTTGGGTTTTACTCTGAAATTTGTGGTACTGACGGGATTGATATGGCCACTAAGTTCAAGATTGGTTGTTGTGAATTTGTATTGAGAGCTCATAGCAAAGATAACTTTTTCCGTTAGGCTACTGAACTCTTGCCTTTATATCCGTTTAGTTATATTCCCGATAGTGCAACGGCAAAAGGAGTCTTCTTTGAATTTGTATTTAGGAAGATTTTTCGCTTTCGCTCATGCGCCTAAACCCATTTCGAATTCAGAAGCTAAGCGCCCTCAGGCTTGGTTAGCACTGAGGTGAGGGATCACTCAGGAACCCCAAGTGCCGTACGTTTCTTTGTCCTGTTTTTTTCCGACTATATGAAAAGAGAAACCAAGTGTAAAGAGAAATAGGTGTTTTTAAATTTTTGTTATTATAGAATACAAAAGGAATCATTGTTGGCCAAGAAAACTGATTGCGAAGAAACGACAACAAAACACATACTTGTCGATTCAAGTGCAAAAACAAGTTGAGTTTAACCAGCATTTTTCTTTCGAGTATAGAAATCTTGAGGATTCCATAAAGCTTGGTCATAAATTGTGTCCTAACAGTATATTCTATTTTAATTCTGGTGATAGAGCCTCAAGAAAGAACAGAATTCAGCAACCAATTCCTTAACGACTTTAAGTGAGCTCCTTGGTCGATTTGAGGACCTTTATTCTTGTTGAGTCACATGTCTCTGCTAATCAAACGCTTGTGTTCACTTTTGACTAGAATAATAATATTAGATGCAGTGAAAGTTCGCAAAGGTTGCCTGTCATAACAGTAGCGCAATTCATCGACAAGGTTGTTGTATTGAGTTGAAAGTGGTGCCTTGAAAGTAAATTCAAGTATTCCACCGTGCAGAGCAAAGTTGTCTGTCAAAGGTTCTCATTGTACCATATCATGTACTACTCGAAGAATCCCTTATAGTCCCGTCTATGGAAGACTTTTTTGTCAAGGCTGTTCTACAATAGCTGAGCAAGGATTCAATTACATTGACTATCACTAGTCTTTGAAACTTTTAGCACTTACGTCCCCTTGAGGCAGTTTTACTAGATTTCATAGTTGGCCTTGGACTCTTCTGCTTCTCAATTGTCAAGGCCATTTTTGAATACATTTCCCTCTTCAAACTCAACAGAAGAATCGTTGTTTGCTGTGGCTTTCATATTGTGATTCAAAACGCATGACTGTGTCAAGAGTGTTGCTATCTAGAATGCATAGGAAGGTTCGAATAAGGCATTGGTCGAGAGAGAATCTTTATTCTTCTATAGTCTCCCTGAACTAACATGTCATTTTTATTCAGTACTGCATTCATCTATTTAGATAATCTCTTTTTTTATAAGCATAACTGGTCCTCATTTATGCTTCTGAAATATTCTTCAGTTTCTTCCATCCAAATTCTCAATTTTTCAAACATTATTCACGAGACTATGATGACTTGCTCACTTTGCAACAAGAGAAAAACTATTGAATATATTCATAAGAATATGCAGATTCTAAATTTTGAAAGAAAAAGTAAACTTGAGAAGATGTCCAAAAAGGAACAGACCACATATATGTCCTTGGATTGTTTGATATAAGTAGAAGTTACTCCGACGTATATTTGCAATGAAAAGCGAAAAAACTACAGATTCTGGGGATGATAACGACAAAGTTTCTGGATGATTATTCGCATAGAAACTACAAACAGAGCAAGTAATTCTTAGTCAATAAAACTTATGTTCTCCACTTGCTTGTTTAAATATTCAAAAGCTGACCAGTTTGCATAATTGACAAGCTTGTGCCTTTACGCTGCCAGCCAAACAACAATGAGTTCGAAGATTGAGTGCACGTGTATTCTCGTCTCAGTTAAACTCAACCAGCGTTTATTAACATAAAAAAGATAGTTTTATTCGTCCGTTTTCATGGAAAAATATAAAAGCTCACAAACAGAGATAAGCTTTGTTGTTGTAAGCTTCAATTAGAATGAAAACACAAAGAACTTCTTCTCTCCTCCCTCTCCTACTTTCCACTCTATTTTCTAAAAAGAATGTCCCTCAATAACACAAATTTGAAAGCAGCTGATTATTCTTTCATTTCTGTGTTTTCTTTCAGTAATACTGCAGCTATTAGAACTTTTTGAATGTATTGCTCTGGTATACCCATTAACTCTAGTGACTTTCTTCGAATCACTTGAGAATTATCTCCAAATATACGAGGAAATGTCAAAGCATAACGAGTGGCAACTTCTTCCGGTAATAACGCAGATTGAAAAGAAACTCTTTCCAGTCAAAATGTGTATTTATACCACCCGATACTTGTTATCTTCTTGTTGTATCTTTTTCCAGTTGTATAGAACTTTGAAAACCTTCCATTCGCATCCTATTCTCATCATTTGTTCTCTGTCTTATATTTCGAGCCACTTTTGAAGTAACATTTGATTGCTCAGCTTCCAAAGATAAAACAAATTCATTGGACATCGACTAAAAGACAGTTTTACACCNTACTGAAAAGTCTTTACTGAACTCTTCTCGGCTTGCCTCGCCAATTTTCCTCAACATTTCGACATTATTTATTCCAAAAAATCGTTCAAGGTTCCTTTGGGAAACAATTACCACTTGCAGACATGATCGACTACTTCCATTCAAAGTTGACCGTGAAGAATGTTCAGTAACCGAACAACTTGTATTTTGAACAATACTATGTTCTTCAACAGAGAAACCTACAGATCGATCATATCTAGTACAAACTACCACCACAAACTGAAAACAAAGTTGAACAGATGAAGGAGATCCGTCATTCAAAACGGAAACAACTCCCTTAAAAAATTTTTTGGCTTCCTCCTCAATATTTGTTTTCGAAAATTCAGTTTTGTGATAAAATGTAAATGAAAATCCAACAATATAACGTGTTTGTCCATTATGGAATATAACATATGCATCAGGGCCACTAGAATTGCCATCTTTTGGAACAAAAATACCGCAATGTTGTAAATATTTTATATAATGGTCAGAAAATGAACCAGGGACATTTCTCAAGATGGGTATATCATTAGATTTTGTTGATTCCATAGAATAAGAAACATTGTCCTGTTCAATAAAAGATCCTTGGAAAATTCCTGGAATAGCAGAATGTACAATCTGCGAGGAACTCGAATGAAGAAAATTTAATATGTGCAACTAGTATGGCCGTACGTAATTCACAGAGTTGTTAAACACTATTTATACAAATGGACATTATTTCTTATTAGTGATTGCAAAGAAAAGATTCCAGTGTGAGAAACAGTGAATCTTGTCATATGAATAGAAAGAATTCTAGCAAGACTCAAGTTGCAATTTTTCATATCCAAGAAGGGCGTTTCTCAACATATCATTTGAGAAGCAAGTTATACACAACGTCCATTGAAAGATAGCTTGAACCTTGCTGGAAGACATTCTACGAGTTTATAACAAAGTTGAATTATTTCGTTTTGAAAGGAAATTCTGTGGCTCTCCTAGAAATGGTTTAATGGTATCTAAGAGGTGCGTGAGTGGATTTTGACAAATAGCGATATTCAGTTATTAAGTTGAAGGCGACGCATTATATGTTCTCGACAAACTCTCTATGACAAATGTCCATTCTAATTGAATATTTGAACATCTTCGGGAGCCGAGTTGCAACAAAGTTAACGCTTCCTTTTTCAGGGAGTTGAATGAAACCTAAACAACCTGCCTTTCATTTATCTTTGATACGACAGCAAACAATATGATCCCAGTGATATAATACAGCTATCTAGAAATTATCATTGCAACTTACAGATTCCTCTGTCACACTTTGTATTGAACGAAAATATGGTAGGTATGTTCGAGGAAGACTGCCATAAAATAATAAGATGATGAGTCGCGATAATTTGGAACAGAGAAAGAAAGAGGCAGGTCACATCTATTAAGTAAACTTGGTTTTGGATTCAGGTTTTACTTTAGTGTCAGAAGAAGATGACTTTGAGAGGATTGCAATTTTTCATTTGGTGCAATCCAAAGGATATGATTGCCGAGGCTTCATCATAATAACTTTTAATGAGGCCAAGAGAAGTCTTTCAGCTCAACTCAAAGTAGAGTTTCATTTAGGAGAAAGATTTTCATAGACAAAATAATGAAAAGTAAAATTTGTTTACAGAAATAAATTGTCTAATGATTTATGCCACTGGATAGTTTTGTGGATATTTTCTAGAAGATAAGCATATTTACTCTAGCTTCAGCATGATGAAAAGAATTTCAAAGCTAAATTAAAGGAAAGACCCTCAAAGTACCCCTTTTTTGATGCTGGTTCAGTGGAAAGTTTGTATTCGTGAGCTTTTGGTTTTTTTTTGTCAGCAAAGCAATCTGACCTACCTTAGAAAGTTGCTTTGTTCTTGGTAGCGAGATAAGCAACTCCTTAAATTCATCTGTCTCGAACAGTTAGACCAGCAAGTGGCCATTTTTTGAACTGCGTTCTTAAAAGGCAACATCACTACATACATTAGATGTTTTTGAGTAAATGCGTGCGGATGGCTCATTAGATGGGACTCCTCAAAGTCTGATTGTTCACTAGAATGAAGCGAAGTTGCCTCATTCGAATCCATTTCCTATTTTAAGGAATGTATTTATTTGATTGATGCGAATGTAGAATCTCGGACAGAATTATGGGAAAATCAAGGAAATCGGCTGTAATTGAAATTTATTGTTAAGGAAACGATAAATAATCCTACAGAGTGCATATTTTATAATTGGCAGATTGTTTTTGTTAAATATAAAGTCCTCCGAGTTTCGAATGCTTGTTAGTATGGTTTGTCAAGGTCGAGGTGTGAAGGAATTCTTTTTAATATCATGCAATGGAGTGAGGAGAGAGGCTGTCATCTGTTGTAAGTTGTTAGAATAGATCCGAAGTCTACATTCAGAAGTTATTCATTATCATCAATTGCTTTGAACTTGGAAAATCCTTTCTTTGTCTCCATGTTTCTGTCGAGATTAACAAAAATGAAGCAATCATCTATATTGTCGATTCTCTGATTGCCTGTATTTGTATGGATTCAACTTACTTTCAATTTCTCAATGCATTCACAAAAATGGCCATTTTGTAAAAAACAAATGGAAAGGTGTTCTTAGAAACATCTTTTCGGAAAAATCGGAAGGATCATAACCTGTTCAACAACTTTATGGCAAGATTCGATAAAAATATTTGTATTGAAATGAAACTGCTGTTTCTCGTCAGATTTACGTTGATTCTACCTACACGCCAAACGTCATCAATAAGCAGCAAACATAATATTTCATTTTAAACACAAGCGTTGATGATATATGAAGGATACAAAAATTTTACTCTTCAAGAGAATTCTCCAATATACTTCAAACTAGTTATATGTGCAACTATAGTAGAACGGGCTGGAATGGTTTCATTTTTGAATCAAAAGATTTCATCGGCATCCAAGATGAATATCGATTAATTCCTCATTCCATCTTGCGAAGTAGAAACAAAAACATCTTTGCCAATCTTATGCGTAAAGTAAGAGATAATGTTAACCAAGAAGTAAGTACTTACTGCTTCTTGAACAGACTGAAAGCCATCCCTTTGTAACAATTCAGAAAGTCCAATTTTGATTTTCCGAATAAGTGCAGGACCTTCATAGGCTTAAAATCGCATTATTTGCATCTTCAGTAAATATAGCGAAGAAAGTGTTTCTTACCCAATGCAGTGTATAGTTCGATTAAGGAAGCACCCGCTCTTATCTTGTCATAAGCGTCTTCAGCGGAGGATACACCTCCAACGCCAACGATAACCAGTCTTATTCAAGTTTTCATCTCAGTATAAGAAAAACTGCTATGATTACCTTCCATTTGTCATCCGATAAACCTTTTGAATAATCGAGGTGGAAATATTTTTTAAAGGAGGACCACTCAGACCACCCTCCTGCATTGCCACTTGTTGTTCCAATAAGCCATGAGGTCTCTGAATAGTTGTGTTGGAAATAACAATTCCATCCACCGAAAGTCGCATACAGGTAGTCACAATATCCTAACTTACAAAATGACGAATGAATAAAAAAAGTCGATTTGGAAACATACAGCTAGCTCTTCATCCGTCAAGTCGGGAGATATCTTTACCAATATAGGCGGCCTTCCTTTCGGTGAAAGTTCTTTCAACGTGGCGTCTCGAATTGCAATGACATGTTCCAACAAATCAGC